GTATGTAGTGCTAACTTGACACCATACACCTAGTCGATAGAATTGAGATATTGAAAATGTTATACAATGGAATATTGTAGCTTTTTTGTTGTAAATTTGTTGTGGAAAGAAAAAATTTGTAGCTTTCGTTTTTTAAGAAAAAATGGTATGTAGTGCTAACTTGACACCATACACCTAGTCGATAGAATTGAGATATCCAATATGTTACTATGCCATTAATTGTAGCTTTTAACTTTAAAATTTGTTGTGGAAAGAAAAAATTTGTAGCTTTCGTTTTTCTGGAAAAAATTGAGTTGACCCTTTTTCGAACAAAATTTAGTATGTAGTGCTAACTTGACACCATGCACCATTNTGTAGCTCTCGTTTTTTAAGAAAAAATGGTATGTAGTGCTAACTTGACACCATACACCTATTCGATAGAATTGAAACATTGAAAATGTTATAACGGCATTAATTGTAGCTTTTTTGTTGTGGAAAGAAAAAAATTGTAGCTTTCGTTTTTTAAGAAAGAAATGGTAAGTATGTAGTGCTAACTTGACACCATACACCTAGTCGATAGAATTGAGATATTTAAAATGTTATAACGGCATTAATTGTAGCTTTTTTGTTGTGGAAAGAAAAAAATTGTAGCTTTCGTTTTTTAAGAAAGAAATGGTAAGTATGTAGTGCTAACTTGACACCATACACCTAGTCGATAGAATTGAGATATCCAATATGTTACTATGCCATTAATTGTAGCTTTTAACTGCAAAATTTGTTGTGAAAAGAAAAAAATTGTAGCTTTCGTTTTTATGGAAAAAATTGAGTTGACCCTTTTTCGAACAAAATTTAGTATGTAGTGCTAACTTGACACCATGCACCATTGACGACAGAATTGAGATATTGAAAAGGTTACAACGGCATTAATTGTAGCTTTTTTGTTGTAAATTTGTTGTGGAAAGAAAAAATTTTTAGGTTTCGTTTAAAAAAAAAATGGTATGTAGTGCTAACTTGACACTTTACACGTAGTCGATAGAATTGAGATATTGAAAATGTTATAACGGCATTAATTGGAGCTTTTTTGTTGTAAATTTGTTGTGGAAAGAAAAAATTTTTAGGTTTCGTTTAAAAAAAAAATGGTATGTAGTGCTAACTTGACACTTTACACGTAGTCGATAGAATTGAGATATCCAATATGTTACTATGCCATTAATTGAAGCTTTTAACTTTAAAATTTGTTGTGAAAATAAAGAATTTGTAGCTTTCGTTTTTATGGAAAAACTTGAGTTGACCCTTTTTCGAACAATATTTAGTATGTAGTGCTAACTTGACACAATGCACCATTGACGACAAAATTGAGTTATTGAAAAGGTTACAACGGCATTAATTGTAGCTTACGTAAATGTATGGTATGTAGTGCTAATTTTACACCATACACCTAGTCGATAGAATTGAGATATTGAAAGTGTTATAACGGCATTAATTGTAGCTTTTTTGTTGTAAATTTGTTGTGGAAAGAAAAAATTTGTAGCTTTCGTTTTTCTTGAAAAAATTTAGTTGACCCTTTTTCGAACAAAATTTAGTATGTAGTGCTAACTTGACACCATACACCTAGTCGATAGAATTGAGATATCCAATATGTTACTATGCTATTAACTGTAGCTTGTAACTTTAAAATTTGTTGTGAAAACAAAAAATTTGTAGCTTTCGTTTTTCTTGAAAAAATTTAGTTGACCCTTTTTCGAACAAAATTTAGTATGTAGTGCTAACTTGACACCATGCACCATTGACGACAGAATTGAGATATTGAAAAGGTTACCACGGCATTTAATTGTAGCTTTTTTGTTGTAAATTTGTTGTGGAAAGAAAAAATTTGTAGCTTTCGTTTTTTAAGAAAAAATGGTATGTAGCCTAACTTGACACCATACACCTAGTCGATAGAATTGAGATATTGAAAATGTTATAACGGCATTAATTGTAGCTTTTCTGTTGTAAATTTGTTGTGGAAAGAAAAAATTTGTAGCTTTCGTTTTTTAAGAAAAATGGTATGTAGTGCTAACTTGTCACCTACACAAAAATTTAAAGATTGTTCAGCTAGGTTAACAGCGTTAAGCTAGCTTTAAAATAAATCGATCACGCCCCTGTTTTGAGTGTTCACTTACACTGGCGGTCAAAAGTATATGAGTGGTATTTTGTTTTTAATATTTAGAATGCTTTTCAAAGTATTTTTTTTTGTTATCTTTTAAAAACAATTTGGTTCATGCTTTAACAAAAACCATATAAATGAAGCTTTTAAACATTAAACTATCGGCCGCTGTGGTGTAGTGGTAAGCAGTGCGCGCTTCCACTCCACAACGCCTGGGTTCAAACTCTGGTCAAAGCAACATCGCAAAAATATAGAAAAAAGGTTTTTTCTTAACAGCGGTCGTCCCTCGGCAGGCTATGGCGAGTGCATTTCTGCCATGAAAAACAGCTTCTCATAAAAATACAATCGCCGTCCGGAGTCGGCGTAAAACTGTACGTCCCTCCGCTTTGTGTGACAACATCAAGACACACGCCACAAGTCGGAGGAGAAGCTCGGCCAAACATTAACATATGTGTAAGCGCCAATCTATTATTATTATTATTATTATTATTATTTTTAGTCATTATACAGAATTTAGAAAAATTCCAAAAATTTTTATCCAAGTTTTGAGCTTTTTAACCAGTATTTTTATAACGTTGTAGGGTATGCAGTTACAAGGCTTATAAAATTTTAGGAAAATAAGTACAAGTTTCGAGCGGCTAAAAAATCGTTTTGAATTCTAATATTTTTTTATTGGCATTTAAAAAAAAAATGATCACGACCATTTTTCGTTTTTCTTCTTGATTTATGTCCAGAAGTATTACATACGAAAAATTAAAGCCCCCCAAATCATACTTTTTCCAAAAAATGTATTGGGCTGCACCGCCGTGCATGGTGGCGACGAATAACTGTTACAGTCTTTTTTCAATAGAAGGGTGCTTTATAGATTTTACGAGTATGAGGCCTTATGTTGGACAAAAGGGCGAGTACAAAAGAGTCAAAAGGAGGAAATTAGCCTATGGGTATAGAAGATAAGGAATAAATTAACCGACGAAGACTTTCGTGTCGCTTCCGCTATTCTCTCAAAGTGTTAAGTAACCACTGGTAAACCTAAATAAAGGTTAAAATTTATTTAATTTTAATTTATTTAATTTAATTTAATATTATATTGAAAACATTAGTGCATTAAGATGTAATCTTTACTTGCAAGTGCAAAAGTACAGATAATAATTAATATTACAATATAGATTAAGGGAATGTATACGTTGAATTACAAATCATAAATTCTAAAATAAAACAAAGGTAAGCTTATAACCACTATTCTTGATCACGCTTGGAAGAAAAAAGTTAAATATGAGTTTTTTAAGTTGCCTATGTGCAACGCGTTCTTCAAGGACAGTGGAAGGGAGTTCCAGCGCCTTACCGCATTAATAAAAAACAGTCTTAAAGTGCGTCAATAGTTAAATCTCGGAAGAATAAGACCTGACGAACGTGTACTCTTGGAGAACTTAAGTTTATTGTACAGATATTCCGGGCTCTTCGTGTTAAATAATTTGAACATAAAAATACAATTACGCGCGTTCAGAAAATTTTGTAAATCACAGCCAAGTATAGAATTACGCATAGATCGTATTTCTTTAAACCAAATACATACCTTGTGGCAGAGTTAATTTTTCAATTCAATTTTTGGAGTGAATGAGAGTCCAATTTGCCGTAGACGATGTCAAAGTACGTGATATAAGGAACAATTAAACTTGTAATTAACTTTTTCTTAGTGGCTACCGGTATATAAGGTGAAGTTACTCTAAGACATCGTAGAGTAAAAAATATTTTACTCACAACTTCATTAACATGATCATCACACGCAGGTCTAGAGTTAATAACGAAACCCAAATTCCAGGCTTTGTCACTTAATTTAAGCTGGTTGGCTACAATAAATAAGTTGGGAATATCCGATGCCAAAAATTTATCTTTAGCGACAGGTATTACACAAGATTTTTGAGCATTGAGGCAAAGTAAATTCTCCCTAGACCATGATAATATTGAGCTTAAGTCCTCGTTAAGTTGTAGACAAATATCCTGAATCGATCCAATTTTATTAGAGTGTGCTAAAATTTGATCAGCTGTCCTTTATATCAGACCATGATCTCATTTTCTGTTCTTTTGATTTTAATCTTAATTCTGACCGTACTAACTTTGTAAACAGCCATATCTCATTTGACTACCGTTTTCTAAACGTTGATAATCTCTTAACTGACCTCTCACACATTAATTGGTCTATGTGCTGGGGACTTTGCACGGTGAATGAGAAGCTTGCCTTTTTGAATGACAACGTTCTGAGTGCTCTTAGAGCTCATGTCCCGCTACGCACTTTTGAGAACAGATCCTCATCGTGCCCTTGGTTCAACTCTGCGGTCCAAACTATGATCAGAAAGCGTAATAAGGCTTATTCTCGGTGGAAAAAGAACCGTTCAGATGCAAATTGGTCTGCATTTAAGGCAGTTAGGAATGAAGCCACTTCAGTAATTAAACGTGAAAAGCGCAGGTTCTTTGGAAAAAAGTTGGATCCCTCACTCCCCAATAATGTCCTGTGGCGAAACCTAAAAAATCTCCGAGTACATGTCAGTAACAGCACTAGCTGCCTACTCGAGCCTGAAACTCTAAATAACTTCTTTGTGAGCCGTGCGTCTTCCCCTTGCTTACTCGCCCCAAACATTTCATTTTCGTGTCCTCGTCCTTCTGTTGGTCAAATGTTTGAATTTAGTGCTGTGTCTGAGTGTGATGTAGTAAGATGTATCAATAAAATACGGTCCAATGCAATAGGCGAAGACGGCATTCCAATACGATTTATTAAAATAATTTAACCGCTTATTTTACCTACCTTGACTCATATTGTCAATCATTGCTTCACCACCTCTTGTTTCCCTGACGCATGGAAGGTTGCAACTGTGATTCCGGTAGCTAAAAATAAATTTGCATGTAGTCCTTGTGATTTTCGTCCTATTAGTATCTTGCCTGTCTTGTCTAAAGTACTTGAGTCTTTGATGTCTGAACAAATATATGTCCATCTTGAGAAATTTAGGTTATTGTCCCCGTTCCAGTCCGGATTTAGAGCTAGACACAGTTGTTCCACGGCTATGATTCAAATACTTGACGACATTCGGATATTCTTTGATAAAAACCACCTGACACTATTATGCCTTTTGGATTTCTCCAAAGCTTTCGACTCAGTTAGCCATGAACTACTACGCCTCAAACTCAAAAACTATTTTGGGTTTAGTGACTTTGCCGTGCAGTTAATGAAAAGCTATCTGTCCGACCGAACCCAAAGAGTAAAAGTTGGTGCTGAAGTATCTAAACTGAAACCACTATTAACGGGTGTACCCCAAGGCTCTATTTTAGGGCCATTGCTATTTAGTTTGTTTATTAATGACATCTTCAGTACTTGCCAATATGCAAAAATGCATGCTTACGCGGACGATATACAGATCTATTTGTCAGCAACTTTTGAAGACATGGCCAACTTGTGCGCGAATTTCAACAGAGAATTAATGTCTATATCGTCTTGGTCTTCGAAAAATGGTCTTTGTCTCAACTGTGATAAATCCTTTGTGTTGCCTGTATGTAAAAGAAATATTAAATTTGATATTATTCCGTCCTTGTACATTGGTGATAAGTCTCTTAAATTTGTTTCTAAAGTGACTAATCTTGGTTTTGTTATAAACACTAACCTAACATGCACTGATCATGTTAACTCTGTCGTAGGCAAAGTCTATTATACTTTAAGAAATTTAAGAATATCTGCAACTTTTACGCCATTAATCGTTAGACGTAAACTGGCCATTCAATTAATATTGCCAATTATCTGCTATTCTGAGCTAGTCTACAGCAGCCTAGATTCTCAATCTTCCCATAAAATTGATGTAGTATTCAATCATGTTACTCGATATGTTTTTGGGCTATCGAAATTTGAGCGAATACCCGATTGGAAATCACGACTGTTGGGCTGCAGTATCTCAGAATACCTAGAAGCAAGAAATTGTATTTTTTTATTTCGCCTAATGATGGATAAAGATCCTAGATATCTATACGAAAAATTATCCTTCTCAAAGTCTTCACGCCTTACTGACCTGATTTTACCAAGGTAAATTATCTAGCATGTGCAAGACTATTTTTCGTCAATGCTATTCGCACCTGGAACTCGGTTCCAGGACATATTCGCAACAGTCTAAATAAAAGCAACTTTAGGAGTGTTTTGTACTCGTATTTTCGTTAACTTATTAACTCATTATCAGCTGAGGTTCGCTATCTATATAAATTGTAAATGTGTATATTTTTAGATATAGGCTAATTGAAAATTATATGTCGTTCTTTTTCTTTTTAATTTTTATTTATTTATTGACTTTTTTTATATTTATTTATTTTATTTTTATTTTTATTTTTTTATTTTATTTTATTTTTCTTCCTCTCTTGGTTTTATATAGATTTGTAAGTTTTGCCTAATGCTATTTGTCAAGCTTTGTTTGACATGATGTACTATGCACTTTTTATTCTCAACTCTTATTCTTGTCTTAATTTTAAGTTACCGTTGTACTAAAAAAGATCTTTGGGATCTTATTGTATTAATTTTCTTTATAATAATAAATGAAATGAAATAACAATACAGCTGCACATCATCGGCATAGGCGTGTAAGCGCGCATGAGTGCAG